CGGGTTGATTTGGCCCCGTCTAATTCAGTCCACGTGCCACTGAATTAAACAGGGCCAGATTCAACCCACCTACGGAAAATACTTTCGCAGCGTGCGCCCCCCGTTTTCCCGTTTCAAACCCCGATTTCAATGTTCTATCAAAGAAGAAGATGCAGACTAATGGTTATTGATCCTTTTTTGAAAATAAATCGATTTTGAGAAATTTGTACAATGCCCTTCACCCTTGTCCCCGGATTGTCCCTCCTGGCCCCGGCTATTTAGATGAGGCCAGACGGGGCTGCTACTGACAGGGATGTACCTCAGTGACCTCGCCAAAGGTCAGCGAACACCCCCAACTTACAAGCGCTCGCCGTTCGTCCAGTAGGGGTTAGTGATGCAGAAGACAAAGAACCGCTTACTTGCAAATTTTAAGTACGGTGAATTTCCACAAGCGTCCAATTATTCGCGCGGAAAATTTTCTTAATTCACATGATTATCGCGCACTTATTTGTCTCCTGATATGTCTCATCCTTATTGGGGTGGGCTGTGCTTCGCGCGCACTGTGGGGACCCCACGATAGTTCCTTACCACGGAAAAGATTAACAACAAAATATTGGGCAATTTGTGGGCGGTTAAACATTTGTCGAGTCTAAGCAAGGTTTTTACTCAGGGTACTACTATCTTTCGGTCAAACCCCGCATTGTAAGAAAAGACAGATGTAACCCGTGGGAGGAATTTATTGTCCACAGAAGAGTGAGTTGCCGTCCGAGGCAAAAGGGGCCACTACTAGGGCCAGGGCTGATTTGACTATCTATTACCCTTGTCGCTGCGGCCTTCAAGGCAGGTTCTGTAGGGGAGAAGCGAGATGTCAGACGGGGGCATAGTGTATTCCTTAATATGCGCAAAAATTCGTGGTCGAGAAGAAAGGAGTGGTATATAGCGCGAGCCAGGAGTCAGAGCATTTACTCTCTGAAGATGGATGCACGAGCCAACTATTCGAAACATCAGATACAAAATAAACCTCTCTCAGTGAACGCCCTTTCCCCTTCTGACTTATCACCTGGGAATCGAATTTCATTGTTTTCTAGGCGCGAAGGTCGGATAGATTGCAGAGCCTGTCAGACGCAGTGGAGTGTCATCTCGTCGGACCTAGCAGTGAGCTGTCGATCTGGGATGCCTGCCCGTAATGCCGGGACATCATGACACAATGCGTGCGTCAAGCGCCGGTTAAGGTCACAGACACGCGTTCACGCCTTTCATTCTTCTGACTAACAAGCCATTACCCTTGGCCAGCGGGTTCATCCCTCTCTTTGCTCTGACTGACTATCCTTCAGCCTCTTACGTTTAAGCCACGTCATAAAGCCCTGCTTGTGAAGATTACTCGTCACCTGAACTGTAT